GATTCCAGCTTTTTTTAGGATATCTGATGCATCCCTAATTAATTAAAATAAGATATATCTGATGCATCCTTAATTAGGTAAAATTTTTATTCAACAATTAACACTATAATACAATTATATACATACATGGGTTATGTTACATTTATAATATCTTATACATATGTTTTTTTTTTTTTATAATATAAAATACTAAATAAATTCATCTTTTCGCGCATTATAGCTTACCTTTACTATTACAAGTTTCCGTTATTTTTTTATGTCTTTAATTTAGAAACTATGTTTCTGTAGCCACACATCAATGTACATACCTAAAGAAATCTAACAATCTTCTGAAGTTTATATGTGGATCCATGGCAAGTCGATACTGCAAAATAACAGCAGATGATAAACCCTCGATCAGGAATAATTGAAGTAATCTTAACATGACTGATCGTTGGTAACATTGCGATGATGCTAACGATTCGAGACATGAGAGAAGAAAATCAAGAGAAAGGAGCGGATTCATCGGAAGTTGTCATTTTCAGCTCACTGTTTGATAATGGGCAGGATATTCATCTAGTTCTATAGCTTCAACCTCTGAAGTATTTCCTATCTCTTCTTCTGTCAAATAACTTGATTTGAGAAATACTTGTATCAACATTTCACTGCTTCAGTCTTATCAACATAAACTCTATTTCTAGAAACACTACATCTCTTGCTCTAATAATATTTCCATTGTCGTTCGGATCAAACAGTCTATAATCTTTGATTTTTTACTTTTTTGCAATAACCAACGAATATAAACGGCTTACCTTTAGCATCCCATTTTTTTCTGAGATTTTTTCGGAATGTGAACATAGGCAATACACCCACTTTGGGTGACTTAAATCAATCTTACCTGTTCAAACTTCTTCTAATGTCGCTCCTCTTACGGCTTTATTAGAGATTCTATAATCAAGGATCTCTAGACTTTGTGAGACTGATTCTTTAAATTATCGCTTCTACCCATATTCGTTGATTAGCACCAGCGTCTTGCACCATGCTTCTGGCTTTTTCTATAATAATGCAATCTGTCCTTTCAGCTACTGATTAAAATCAACTTTTTTCTTATCTCTTGTTCTTTAGAAGAAACACTTTTGATGTTTTGCATGTGGAAACTTTTCAAAATCAACAATTGCGAGAAATACGAATTCAAAATTCGAATTTACAATATCGATTCAAATAAAATTAATTTGTCAAATTTAGCAAAAGTCGATTCATACAATTAGTGAACGTCTTGCTATTGGATTATACTTATAGATCTAGAAGAATAGTCTTGTGTCTCTCTCTCTCTCTCTCTCTCTCTCTCTCTCTCTCTCTCTCTCTCTCTCTCTCTCAGAAGAAAACTCTTTCAACAGTTGTAAAATAAATATTTTACTAACTAAACACAGAGGCCATTAAAATTTGAAATTGAAGATAAAAATATTGTTATTCTTAATATCTCGAAATCATCAATATATGATATCAAATTGTTAATTTGTTTTAAAACAAAAGCCAAAATATTTTAGGTTTCGTTAATAACGCAAGTTTTTCATGGGAAATGTATTTTGTAATTTGCAGTGATTTAATTTTGGAATTTAGAAATACTCGGCATAATTAAGTGAAAAGATTGCATAAGTATTTTTATTACAATACCTAATAATTAAAACAATATTTACATTTGTACACGATTCGATATACATCATATACGAAAAATTACGTCATATCGGGTCGTAAGTACTTGAATCAACGTCCTACGAATTCTAAATGTCTCATCGCATTGCAGGAAATGCTATAATTGATTCAGAGAACTATTAAATTAAAACATATCATGTAATTCCGATTTTGTAATAATTCTTTCTGTATCGATTGTCGAGTTAAATAGAAGATTTTAAGTAATTATTTCAGAACTGCCTAAAACACTAGGCACTTGCGAGTGCTCGCTCGCTCGGTTAAGAGACAATTCTGAAATTTAATGGCAAAAAAAATACACATTACACTTCTTTAATGTTTTAAATAAATAATAGGCGATATATCCTGTCATAATAGCTATGTTACATCATTCGCCAGTCAAGGATATATGCTTCGCTGCTCGTATTTAATTCAAGATGCTTTTTGACGTAATAAAACTATACTATTGTACAACTTAATGGCAGGGCCGAGTCGTAAACGTAGTACCGATACCAAATCCTCTTGAGTCAACATTAAAAATGACTCACCATCGATATTCTGCAATAATAAATAATATTATAACAATTATGCCGTTATTATTTACACTAATTATTTATATTATTGCACTTTCTTTTAAACTTACGTTCTGTCTAAAAATATTTCCAGCTTCTGCACAGTTAGGCATGCTCTGTACAAATTTAATCACTTCTTCATTAGACCATCGTCGTGGATTCGTGGTTTGTTTCGATACTACTCTGTTTAAGGCATTGCTATGTTTCGCCCATATATGCGGTGCATTCGGCAAAGGATTATATCCAGGATTATATACAGATTGATATAATTCTTTACGCAATTGTTTAACAGGTATGTCTGCAGCATATGCAGCATTCACAGTATTCACAACATTCGCAACATTCGCAACATTCCAAGTTTGCACATCACCATTTGTAATATTGGAAACGGAAAACGAAGGTTCCTCCGAATTTTGATGTCTAAAAATATATTAATATGTATTAAATGTGTACTGAATTTTAATATTACATGAATATATAATTTAGAAGTTCTGTAAGTTTTGAATAACAAACCTTTTTTTCCGCTTTTTCGAAATTTCATCATCATCCGTTTGTCCGTTGTCGCTGTGTAGATTTTTTAACTTGTTGGATCTGAAATAATAAAATGATATAAATAAAAGTGATAATTGTCACAACTATGCTATGTGTGTGCATATGTATATATATGTAAAAAGGAGATGGTGAGGAAGGGGAGGATGGGGGGAGGGAAAAGGGGGGGAGAGAGAGTTATTTCACTGTATTCAACATACTTGTCTGAATTTTCTGATCTATTTTCAGATTTATCATTTTCTGATCCATTTTCAGATTTATCATTTTCTGGTTTATTTTCAGATGTATCATTTTCTGATCTATTTTCAGATTTATCATTTTCTGGTTTATTTTCAGATTTATCATTTTCTGATCCATTTTCAGATTCATCATTTTCTGATCTATCTTCAGATTTCTCATTTTCTGATGTATTTTCAGGTTTCTCATTTTCTGATCTATTTTCTGATTTATCATTTTCTGATCTATTTTCAGATTCATCATTTTCTGATCTATTCTCAGATTTATCATTTTCTGATCTATTTTCAGATTTATCATTTTCTGATCTATTTTCAGATTTATTATTTTCCGATGTATTTTCAGATTTATCATTTTCTGATGTATTTCCAGATTTATCATTTTTATCCGACGAATCGCCATCTTTCTGTTTTTCCTTCTCGCTCATTAATATTCCATCGTCTAAGGGCACAGGTTTATCAAATTTTTGAGATTTTTCTGTTTTTTTGTCAGTCTTCTCTAGTTTTGATTTTTCCTGTATCTCCATTTCATAATCATCAGCTTCGTGTGAGTCGTTGTTTTTCGCCAAATTATATCTATCAAGCAACTGGACTGATTTATTTAAATTTTGAGAAGAATACGGACAACCAGATGTTGAATTATGCGTTGCAAATTTAGGTCCTTTTATATGTCCTATACCTCGGCAGCCATATGTGCCACATTCCGGTCGATCAGTCAATTGATCTACTATGTATTGATGAAAATGAATCAATAACATTGTACGTACGAATTAAAATATGTTATAATATGCAAAATAATATGTATAATATAAAATAAAAGCTTACTAAGTGGAGGTTCCAATGGATGACCAGTTTTTACACACCAACCCACAGGATGAATATCAGGTGAATCATCATCAACCCAATAGGCATGATTATCGGGCCAACCATCAAACTTAATCTTCAATCTATATTTTAAAAAACATAATTACTATTCCGCTAAAAAGATAAAAATACACACAGAAAGA